ATCAGTTTCAGAGCTATTATTAATTTTTTAATCATAACTCGGTACATTCAAGCAAAGATCACTCACGACCGGTTCATTATCGCATCGAGAGTTGCATATATCTTACCCACCAGCTTGTTTTGGCGAGACACAATTATTTTGCAAACATACAAAACAGCACTGCCGTTCATTGCTGCGTTCGGAAATGATCGTTACGATACTTTTATTACTTATTACTATTGTCATTATAGCATTTACTTTTGATTTTTATGTGCATCATAAAAAAGCCGGACAATTGCTCGATCAAATACCAGGACGAAAAGGTGTTCCCATTCTGGGCAATAAACTACAAATATATCTGCCACGCGGTAAGTGGAAGTTCTCGAAACATTTGCTATTAATTAATTCATAATTCAGAAATGTCTGACATATTTTTCAGTTGCTAAAGGAGATTTCGAGCTATATGTTAACATAAAATTATAGATAGTATATGGCATTAATTTTTTTCTTTCTCTCATTTGTTATTCTTCATTGCTTTAATTTATCATGCTCAATTTTAGCTTCTGCAATGGTATAGCGTATTTAAAAGAATGGAAACGTTAACAACATACTTTCCGCATATCGTGATTTATAATATATTTGCACGGATTTCAGACAAACTTTGGTTGTTTTTTTGTAATATGATGGACAAATATTATCCTATTACTAAAATTTGGGCGTTCCATATACCTGTGGTATCTATCCGTCATCCAGATGATCTCGAGGTATTAAATGAAAAGAAAAATTATAATAACTTGCGGGAAAGTGTATATGTTTTAAAAAATTATTTCTAAAGTTATTAAAAATTAGAAAATTTGCAATAATGAACCTTTTTGTATACTGTTATTTACGTATCAATAAATGATTTAATTTTCTCGAACATGGTCCTTCAAGAGCAGAATTTGAAATTGTTTTGTCGTAAAACGTTCAATTAATTAGCTTCATATGAATTTCAGCGTTATAATAAAATGATACTGCCCACAATGCGTTTCTTATGATTCCAGGTAACATTAAACAATACGAAGAATATAGAAAAAAGTATCTTATACAAAATTTTGATTCCTTGGCTAAATACTGGACTTCTTACCAGCGGAGGTAATGTAGCAAAAATTAATATCATAAATAGACGCATATATGACGTCTACCCGGAAAATATCCAACTTAGTGCTGAAGAAAGAGTTAAATTTTGTCCAATAACGTGTTCCCTCCAGTGTACTTCTTTTTGGAAGCCATAACTTTCTTCCAGAGATCTTTCCACTTTTGGAAACACTCCTCAACTTTCGGACGTACGCTTCCAATTATTGAGTACTGTGTACTGGAGCATATAATTCATTATACATTTATTACGATGAAAAAAAAAGTATCGTATTGTAAAGTCGGAAAATATATAATTCTACACATACACAAACTTAAAGATTTTCTCAAGCTGATAAAGCCGTATCACTTATTCATTGTAAGCTCACGAGTTTGCAAGTGAGATCTAATGTAAATATATATGTCTCCGGTCACATATGAATAGCAATTAAACCGTGCCGTGCGACAAATTTTTGTTCTGTCTATTCATAATTTTGATAATGTCATAACAAAATGTGAATTTACTCCGAAATTTGCTGTTATCGATTGAGCGCATAAAGAAAAAGGAAACATATAAAACGGAATTTAAGAATTCTCC